ACCGTAAGAAATGTTTCCAATGATTGTAACAAACAGGCTAAGAAAAACCGTTGCCTGCTCCATTGCACGCAAGAAAACGAATTCTATGCGCTGACATTTTTTGAAGTTTTATCGGGTTTCAGGTCACAAATATTCCTCCCAATTAGATTCTTCATACCTCGCTGTCAAATCATCTTCCACTGCTCAGCCAGGACTATAAACTAACAGCCCACAGAGTTGTTGTTCTGTTGCCGAACTTGTCAGTTGGATTGGCAACGTTTCATTTTCAATCGATACCGCACTCTCACTGCATGATTGAGGTAGTGACCCGGACTATCTGTGTACAAACGTTTTCTCCTGAGAATTATTAGGGCAACTCTGGTAATCGTGAGCTTGCTCACACTGCTTATTTCATTCTACGTCTCTTCCGGAGGTCTGTCTTTGCTTTTCGTACAACTAATGTAACGGTGGATACTACTGATGACGCATGCGAGTAGTATGTCTTCGCGCAAATCCGCTTCGCGTCTCTTGAGAAGTTAGATCTACTACGGAATTTGTGAAGTCGCATTTGCTTGGATTTAAGCAACAGCCAGTGAATATCCAGGGGGGTTCAGGAAGACGGGTTTAAGGGAAGATGGATATCCAGTTTTTGTAAACAAGATGCATATGAGTTTTGCTCCACTGTCCAATAGTCTGTAACTGTCCCACTTGGCGTTTTCTAATGAATAACTCCGCAGCGTGACCTTCTTCCTTTGACTAGTAGTAACTATTTAAACTTTCCCAATCTGAGTCAGTCCTCTGATAGCCACTTAGTCCGACTTCATCTTGATTTTCGGTGAACAGATTATGGTGGTATAAGTTTCTGGCCCTTCTAAAACTGAAATGTATGGAAAAGACATTTGCTGCTAGCAGAATTTGGTCATAAAATGATTAATAAGAATAAATAAAGGTTGATGCTATATAAAATAGCTACACTTTTACCTGTCGACTGTAAAGAAAAGCAGCACAAATGACCCAAAAAGTAAAATTTGGGATGCCAGTAAGCTCTGATTGTTTAGCACACTTGTTCAAAAGCATTAAAAAAATTGTCCAATTCGTAAAACCGTCGCGCAGCCAGAGCTTTTTTTGCCGCTGAGTTGAAGGACAGTCAAGTCTACTGCAATGTCAAAACACATTTCTTCTGAGAACAGAAAGTTTTCTGAAAACTGACTGGCCAGTACAGAGGCAACAACCGAAACTAGACGTTCACAAGTTGACACACCCATCAGTATCACACTATTTGCTATTCGGCAAGACATCTATTCTTTTCGTCTGTCATACTGTCATCCTTTTTGAATCAATTTGCTCGGATAACCAGTCGTTACATTGTGAACCAAATAAAGTAAATACCTTTGTATTTCGAACTTGCCACAAAATATAACTTTTCGGTCAATGTTTGTAACCATGTCGCCGGTGACAAATGGAGTAGTTTGAATTCGTGTTTCTCTTACATAGAAAAATTTGATATTGTTTAGACTGGTCGAATAAAAACACTGAATAAAAAGTGGCAATAAGTGAAAAAACCGCAAAGAAAACTAAGAAATTCAGTTTGAATTTTCAGTAATGACCCGTTCCTTTTCATCTCAGTACAGTCGTCAAATGATGCTAGAAACGTCTTTGGCAGTCATGCGCACGTGGCCCACAGCTTTCTGCATAAATTCGATTTGATTGGAAGTTCAATCTGTCAAAGCCGCATTTTCTTCGGACCTGAGATGAAAACAAAATTTCGGGTCTATCCAAATGTGTTTGCGAGCAGTCTGTCCCAACTTTTCCAGTTCCCTTCGATTTGGTTTAAATAATAGGCGAACTAAGGTCAAACACCCAGGCTACCTGGGTAACATTTTGAGTTTTGTGAAGTTCTCAGGGGATTGTGACAACAAGGAGACGATGTAGTTTATCAGTGTGCTTTATTGCACGATTTAGTTTCAGGTCAGCAACAAAAACGGGTCAACGAGGAAGTTTTCGTCCGTAATATGCAAGCAAACAATGAATATAGAGCTATCTGTGTAAGCCAGAGCACAATAAAGGGAATATAAGTGTGTGAATTTAGGGGTATTAAATATACGTGGCGTTCGCTCAACACTTATAAACCCTATTGGTCGTTGATCAGGTGACTGCTGATCTGTTCAGCGAGCTTGGCAATCGGTTGCAAACGTTTCGTCACCATACGAAAAGACCGTCAGTGCGCAGTTTGTTGAATACTCTTTCCTTGCTTGCGTGCGTCTATATAGCATTGGAAGGCTATCTGTTCTCTTCTGACGTGGTTGGATATTTGAAGTGTAACGAATTTTGTGAATCTATTAGCCCGTTTGTAATCTTTGTTGCGTTGTAGTCTGCGTTCCTTTGTGTTGGTTGGTTATCACAACCCGCTCAATTGTTAGTAGCTCGTTCTCTCTGGCCTTGATTTGCTTTGCGTTGTGGTCTCCACGAGATTTCAAAAAGAGAATGAGAGCTCGTGGTTCGGCCACTCCGCGCTTTTACGGACTCGCGAAGTTACACAAAGAATCAATACCTCTCCCACCACTTGTATCACTTCCTTGAACAGGTTGCACGACTTATGCCTGGCATTGTTTTTCGTCATTGCAGAAGTCACAATGGGAGAACTGGAACAAACTGTGTTGCCTGATGTAGATCCCAAAATACGGACCCGTTACGTGGATGATACATTTGTGATCATTAAAAAGGACTAACTTCAATGAGCAAGCTAAACAACGTTTTCGACGACATCAAATTCACAACCGAAGAAGTAAACCACGGAAAACTGGCGTTCCTGGACGTCCTCATCACCAGATTGCCGAACGGGCACTTACAAACTGAGGTCTACAGAAAGTCGACATATACGGATCAAATCCCCAGCTACTACAGCAACCATCTAATTTTTCCCAAAGGAAGCTGCATTCAAACACTTTTCAAGTGGATCGGGACACACTGCAGCACAACAGAAGAAAAGCACCTATGGAGTGTTTCATACAAATGCATACCCGAGGAATTCCATCTGGGGAACGATCAGGAAGTCAAATACGGCCAATTCAACAGCACAAAATGCAAGCTAATGAATCACACTCCCGTACACCAAGAACACTGCTGAAATGACGGCTAGGTTCTTACGACAACACTATAAAACGGTCGCTTTCAAGCCTGTGAACACTCTGCAGAGGACACTATCAAGACCAAAGCGGAAATTAGATCCAATGACAAAGAACAATATAATATACAGGATCCAATGCAAGGACTGCGGCAAACAGGAAGGAAGCTTTCCACCAGAATACATGAACACAAGCACGCCACTAAAAGACATTATCAACTTTCTCTCATCTCCGCACACAAAGATCAGGAAGGACACGAATTCGACTGGAGCGGCATCTGCATACTGGTTCAAGCAAGAACAAAAGGAGAACGCGAATTTATGAAAGCGTTGTACTCCACCGAAGAAGCCATCAACAAACATATCGAAATCGATCCAATTTACCAGCCACTAAAAGCTAGAGAACGCCAGAACCGCAAAGCTTTAAGCTGCAAAAGCAATCAGACGAGCAACTCTTAAGAAGTCAGGAAAGCATCATTCAAACGGACAAATCAGCTGAATTGGAGGAGGCGCCCAATCAAAGCACCAAATCAACCGGCGGACGCAGGGGACATTAATCGCCACGGTGGTGTAAATAGGGCGGTAAAAGCAACGCAAATCAATGTCAAAGAGAACAAGTTACTAAAAATAAAACATGTCGGGACAACCAGTCAACACAAAGCAACGCAGACCACAACACAATAAGGAGCACAAGCGGACCAATAGATTCACTGAATTCGCCACACTTCAAGTAGCCAATCACGTCAGTAGATAACAGATAGCTTTCGAATGTTGTACAAACGCACACAGGCAAAGTAGAAGCATTCACCAAACTTCGCACCGATGGTCTCCTCGTATGGTGACGAAAAGCATGTAAGCCAATTTTCAAGCTCGACGAAGAGATCAACAGCTATCTGAGCAACAACAAATAAACTCACCCGAGCTACCAATATTTCAACACCACCAGCATATAACCTCTAACTCAAAGTAACCAACTGCATCCAATTTGCTGTTTCATCAATCTTTCCATCATTGTTGTTTTTGAATAGGATTAGTTAATCTTTCACATTCATTACGTTAACACAGAAAAACGAAGGAAAGGTAATTGCGGATTGGAAATTTTTCAGTTTGCAGCCTAAAGTGATTACACATCTTACCAATGTTTCATACAAATGCATACCCGAGGAATTCCATCTGGGGAACGATCAGGAAGTCAAATACGGCCAATTCAACAGCACAAAATGCAAGCTAATGAATCACACTCCCGTACACCAAGAACACTGCTGAAATGACGGCTAGGTTCTTACGACAACACTATAAAACGGTCGCTTTCAAGCCTGTGAACACTCTGCAGAGGACACTATCAAGACCAAAGCGGAAATTAGATCCAATGACAAAGAACAATATAATATACAGGATCCAATGCAAGGACTGCGGCAAACAGGAAGGAAGCTTTCCACCAGAATACATGAACACAAGCACGCCACTAAAAGACATTATCAACTTTCTCTCATCTCCGCACACAAAGATCAGGAAGGACACGAATTCGACTGGAGCGGCATCTGCATACTGGTTCAAGCAAGAACAAAAGGAGAACGCGAATTTATGAAAGCGTTGTACTCCACCGAAGAAGCCATCAACAAACATATCGAAATTGATCCAATTTCCCAGCCACTAAAAGCTAGAGAACGCCAGAACCGCAGAGCTTTAAGCTGCAAAAGCAATCAGACGAGCAACTCTTAAGAAGTCAGGAAAGCATCATTCAAACGGACAAATCAGCTGAATTGGAGGAGGCGCCCAATCAAAGCACCAAATCAACCGGCGGACGCAGGGGACACTAATCGCCACGGTGGTGTAAATAGGGCGGTAAAAGCAACGCAAATCAATGTCAAAGAGAACAAGTTACTAAAAATAAAACATGTCGGGACAACCAGTCAACACAAAGCAACGCAGACCACAACACAATAAGGAGCACAAGCGGACCAATAGATTCACTGAATTCGCCACACTTCAAGTAGCCAATCACGTCAGTAGATAACAGATAGCCTTCGAATGCTGTACAAACGCACACAGGCAAAGTAGAAGCATTCACCAAACTTCGCACCGATGGTCTCCTCGTATGGTGACGAAAAGCATGTAAGCCAATTTTCAAGCTCGACGAAGAGATCAACAGCTATCTGAGCAACAACAAATAAACTCACCCGAGCTACCAATATTTCAACACCACCAGCATATAACCTCTAACTCAAAGTAACCAACTGCATCCAATTTGCTGTTTCATCAATCTTTCCATCATTGTTGTTTTTGAATAGGATTAGTTAATCTTTCACATTCATTACGTTAACACAGAAAAACGAAGGAAAGGTAATTGCGGATTGGAAATTTTTCAGTTTGCAGCCTAAAGTGATTACACATCTTACCAATGTAGAGGCATACACTTATTTGAAGTAGCCAACTTGTTGCTGCCTTTCAGGGATGCGTGGAATATACTCTTAGTTACTTTGCAGTAAGACTGATGGCCGATTTCTTGGGATCAATTTTTAAAATAAACTAAACTTTCATTTGTGAGGTTCTTTTGAGAAAATTTTCAAAGCGTTTTCAGTAACGTAGAGTTAGAGAAAAGCACAACTAAGCTCTTTTTCTTTGTCCGAACAGATATTCTTCTGAGTCATGTAATGGTAATTACCTGCCACAAGAAGATGCCGTTATTTCCAAAATGTTGTTTCATTTTGGGTGTTTTCGGCCACCATAATTACCGCAGAGCATACCAGACACCTACTGCCTAATTAAATAGTGTAGGTCAAGCAAAATTCTGAGAAATTCGAAAGATCAAACAAGACGAAAATACTGGAAAGGAAATTGGAGCTTGTTTTAGATTTACATTAACCCCTCGTAGGCTGAAGAAGTAGTACTTTGACGACCAATGGAGGCCTTTGATTATCTGATCGTAAGTTTTACAACCCTATATTTTATGCCTACTTCATTTTTTCCTCTTTTCCAGGCGCTGTTATCATCCGTGGTACACAACAAGAAGGAATTTAGAACTTTATGCATGCATCTTGTTAGCTGTTCCTATATGTGAATCGGGACAATGGATGAGTTGGGACACTTTCTACCCCTCGTTTTAGCGTCAGGTCTCCTCAAGTTATCAAGTCTAAAAAAGCACATATGGTTGTGGTTGGACGATAAAATTTGTCTGTTCAACGTAATAAACTTAGACACAGTAACTATTCCGGTTTTGTCAACTGACTGACTTGCCTCTCGTAACTTTCCAGTCAGGTAGGCCACGGTCGCTTGAAACCCACTCTAGAGTTTCCTGGCAGTTCGAAGTGGTTGCGAGATTTGTGTACTCCAGCTCTGCATTTTATGGAAGTGAATCGCTAGGCAACATCACATGGGCGCATGTTAGTCAGGGCAACTTCAACGGCTGTAAGCAATCGGTTCACTTGGCCAGATACTCCTTAATATTCGGCTTACTTATACACTACTTGTGTGCTGGAACACTCTTATAGCGTTTCAGTTTAGCGCGATTTAGCACAATTTCATACCAACTCCCGTGCACACCTGAAGAAAAAAGGAAACCCAACTCTAAAGTGTCCACAATGTTCAGCGATGCTCCTTGTAAAGACCCTGTGCTTTATGTGCATCGAAAAGCTGAGAAGTTTTTTTAATTGGTCACAACTAAGAATGTCAGTTCAAAGTATTTCAACGGTAGGGAAACAAACGACCATGCTATGCAGATATTCTGAGAGCGGGAACGAATCTGATCAGAATATCAGGTAAACGTGACAGAGGCAGTAGCCAACTAAGCACCTTACTTTATAGTCATTTCAATTCCGCACGTAGCTAGACTGCTGAAGATAATTTTTTGGTTTGATCCGTTCTTTCGGACCTTACTTCACATGAAAGCCATGCACTTCCCAAGTTCAATTTTTTGTACCTAACATACGACTGAATTGATCAACCATTGTTTTTTCAACAGGCGAATTCCCTCGGAAAACTTACACTCGTTGACCATTGAGGTAGTTTGCTTTAACTCGTTCGTTATGCACAGTTCTAGGGCAGAACTGCTAATTTTCAAGTCAATAATCCAACATATTTCCTAGAATAAATGTTCCAGTGTTTTGTTCCAAACTGAAGACCCACTTTCAATCAGTGAAGTTCAGTGGCAACTCTAACAATACGCACAAAACGCACAAGTTAAATTCTTGGTGGCCTGAGTTTACAGGCGGCTATGCGAATCTAGGACACGGTCATCGTGTGATCCAGCAGAGTAAATTCTCCAAGTGAGTCTCGATATAAATAAACGTCTTTGAAATGTTCTCCATGACTCACCAAGTAAAGGCTATTCGGATCAATTATGGAAAAATGTAAGGCATATTACAGACGGATATGAACACGTGAACCCGCAAGTCACGCTATCGAAACATCCAAAATGGAGTAGAAAATGGTAGGAATGAAAGGGTGATCGCTTCACGAGACCTGGTTTTGTGCCTCGGTACGTGACTCATCAGAACACTTATCGCTGAATCATCGGATGGCTGTGGTATTTAAAATGGATCTCTGTAGCAATAAAATAGCTCGATCTCCAGCTGACTACGCACTGTGGATCGCAAAGTGAATTACGGAGAACATCACTGTGGTCCCCTAAATCGCAGGTTTGTTCCCACATTCGTTGTGCCAAAAACTGAATGAGCTGTAAATTCAGATAAATATTCCGAAAGGCAAATTGGCTTTTATCCATGACACAAACATGATTGATGAACCAGGTTTCGGACGGCGTTCAATTCAGAACAACAAAAGATGACTGCGAAAAATGTAGTGTTTGGACATCCTCATAAGCTTAATCTCAAATAGACTGAAGCAGACTGAAGTAGACTGAAGTAGCTGAAGCCTACGAAAAGCTACCTTGGGAAACCATCGGACAGTCAGATTCGGACACTATTAAGACGGACTGAAATGCAGTACGACATGGAGATCCCCAGGATCAGAGGAGGAATCATAAAGATGGATAACCGAATAACTTTAACTGTCGAACGTTCAAGAAACTGTCCCAAACTAACTGCACAACACAGTGGCTAAACCAGGCACACTTGCATACTGAACATCTGGGGATAATTTTGATAATCACCGCTCCGCATCTCACGAAAGTGTCGGGAGTTCCGAAGCCAAGACTTTTTGTGTTAGTAGTTTGAAAACTAAATGCAGGATAAAACCTCTGCTAAAATGTTCCGGTCTCTTTACACTACCGGCAGTCTATAAGTAGTTTAGATTTCGTGACTGAAGGGTGCCTGACGCCATATTCCGCCCAAATGATGTTTATTCGCCCGGCTGGTTAGCCACTGGTGGTAAGACGAATTAATCTACAGCTACTAACCAGACGGTTGGGGGTTAGAAACTCCCTGAGATTCAGTTCAGCGGTTCTCGGTTTTTCAAAATAATTTTCAGCCAACACAAATTGGCTCCGTTTATTAACTTCTAGGTTCGAAATAACTCCACCTCCACGGAGCTTAAGTCTGAAAAATTGCGGCAGAGAAAGGGATCTAAAGGCACTGTGACCATATTCGAAAGGTCAAACAAACCTTACGGAAACAAACATACGACCAGTGAATTGACTGGCCAGACTGAATAAAGAATTTAGATCCAGCGACAGAATACACATAATTAGCCCACACAACCTGAGGAAATCGCTTACCATAGTGAAAGAAAACCTATCAAACGATAAGTCAACCAGACTCAGAAAAGCCAGACCAAAATGCAATATAGACAGAGGAAAAGCCAACCGAACTTAACACACATCGCAAGAGGGTGCATTACGCATTCTTGGATGAGCTCCCCCAGTATGTTTGTCGAATGTCAGGAGTGCGCAAAACAGTACCACACAAATCCCAAACGGATCAATAAAATCCCAACGAAGGTTTTCTAGAGATAGTCAGTCATATTCTCATGCACCCAAAAATTCACTGAGTAACGTAAATGGTAAATAGGTGAGGCAGGGCATCAACACAACCACACAGTGATGATGCATTCCCATTCGGTGATGAAAGGCTTGATAACCAACCGCTACGTCCGGAAAACAGCTCTCGGAACCGCATGGCCTACACCCACAAAGACTAAATAAAATAACCATCACAAAGTTGGAATTCACATCACAGCCATCATTGTCAATAACACAACATCAGTGTCCAAAATTGGTGCTTCACAGCCGTCAGGCGTCATTCACAAGAAAGCTTTTTAAAACAGCATCCACACTACATTAACTCTACCAAAACTATGGGCCCAAGTTTCTAAGGAATTGATTTCAACCGTCAAATCTAGTACTTCCACCGTCTAGTCACTTATATGTTGCGTTCATTCTAACTCAATGACTGCAAACCACGTGATGCATACTGCTTGAACGATTTCTCTGATGGCTTTCCGCCGACCTAGGTGACTAAATGAGCTATATCGGATGGTGTCCGTGCGACATTCATGGAGTTCGTCATACACGGTTGGTCTGACCAAAACATTCTCCTGGCCTTCCAGGTTGGTGGCTAGATTATGTCTAGCAACTTAGCCTATAAAAATGGTAATGCAGCTGAACTTTCAGCCAAACACCACTGCCTTGTTACAAGGTTTCTGAGCCAAAGAGGGCCCTAATCCTCTCTTGTATAGTTCTGGGCGCAATGGCAAGTTTCCACCCCACGTATAACAGCAACACCTACAACTAACAACGTTCATGTTACATTAACAGACATGTAGTGTCATCAAACGGGTAGAATTGCTTGCCGCACACAACATGACGGGTAAGTGAAAACAGGCTAATGCTGACACCTCCCTTCTTTCCTAACCCTCTTTGTTATCTCTCTCCTTGTAGAGCTATTCATTAATACTGACTATCCGCCCATCTTGCAACAATTTAGACATCAGCTCACGCTGACAGATTTTGGGCAACTCAATGTCAGTCTCCTGTTCTCAACACCTGGTCTATCCGTCCGCTCCTTAGCTTCGCACTTTAAAGAAAGCAGAAACAAGCTCCTCTTACTCACACACTCACTGGAGTTATTTTACATTGACCTGTGCTGTAAACCAGAAACAAGAATTCAAGGTGTAAGCGCCGTCGTCGAGCTGACTGTCTAAATTCTCTCCATTCGCTTTATGTGGCGTGCCTCTGGTGTTCCAAGGAGAGAAATCAGAGGCTGTGAAACGCCTGTTACAACTTGAGGGTTGTATTAGCTCAGGACTCTCTGAAACTCGGGTCACTTTCGCTAATTTGACACACCTACTCGGTAAAGCGACACATCAAAGGCTGAAATGTGCCCGTATTATTGTCAGCAGTGACATCTGCGAGCGACCGACCAGGAAAGACTTTTGGTTGTCAATAATCATTGTCTCAGAATTACATTTTTTATAGGCTGGTGTTGGAGAATCCTTGGGTAGATAGTCAGAAAGCGAGTGAAAACCGTTTTTGTTGTCAATCTGTATGCTGACGGTCTGATTGAGTGCCTCCAGTTCTTTCAAATAAATAGCGCTACTCATCTGCAAAGTATCAATGTTTGTCCACAGATTTCTGCCAGCGATGAGGATGGCGATGAGTGACATAAAGAGAACAACATGTGGATTTCATCTGGAAGACGTCATATTATCCTTACACTTACATCCGTGCAGCATGTTCAAGCGTTCTGACCTGAACGTGTCTGGTTATTCCTCAAGAATGCAACATGATCCTTTTGCGACAGAAAAGGTCCCTTTATATCCAAATAAGTTCGGCAGATGCTACAGTCGTTTTTCTCCAAACTGTCGTGCCCCGTAGCGATCACTTACCTAGGTTGAGTAACACTGAACTCTCGGTTCGAACTTATTCATTGACACTGGTGATATACATATGCTTGACTCGACCGCAGCACCATCCTGTGACACACAAAGTGGAGATACAAATATAGTAAAAACGAGTGCATGTTAGACGAAATAACTGCATTAGTGGATTTGTAAGGAGAATGTGTTTTCACACCTAGCGATATGATCGGTTTTTCTGGAGTCAGACTGATGGATTAGCGTATGTTAACTGCAATAAAGCTCGAT